AAAAAGTAAATCAGAGCTAAAAAAGTGCAAAAACGCAGGCAAATTTGCCTGCGTTGGTCTACATATTAAGGGATAAAGTTTGAGATAGAGGTTTGATAAGATAAATTATTAAAATTTAAAATATCTAATTAGAAATTAGTAAAATTTTATACAGTTTCTAGAATCAGTACAGATACAAATATTACTAGGTAAATAGAAACTATTTAAGATCCAAAAGACTTATTACAGATTAGTTTGACAATAGGTATTTTCAGAGTAAATGTTTTTATCAATTAAAACTCTTAATTTGCAAACACATACACAACCAGGTCACTATGACTCTTCTGTAATGTCCTTCGAACAATTATAAAATTTTGCTTTAAATGAATATAGTTATAGTTTAATTTTGCTTAAAAGCTATAAAGTATAGATTGATTTTAAATTTGTATCTATAGAGTATTGAGTTGTTATTTATATTGATAGCAGAGCTATTAGTATAAAAAATAAGATTAAAGCATTCTAATTGTAGATAGCTATTGTTTAAAGAGGAAGATAAAAAGGGTTTAAAATTGTTATCTATAACTTTAATTTAGAGTAAAGAAAGAGTTATTTAGTAAAAATTGTAAACTATTAAAACAATCTAATTCTGATTAAATTTGCAGATTATTTAGCCTATTAAAGATAAGTTTTAAACTTATTAATAGGCTAAATTATCTGCAAATTTGACTTGAATTAAATTAGCTTAAAATATAATAATAATTATATTAGACCATACAAAGTTAATTTTTTGGTTCTTATAACATAGGATAAAAAAAATGACCTGCCTGCCTGGACTTTTATTTAAAAATTTTATATAAAAAATTTTAAATTTTATAAAATTTTTTAAAAATTTTTTTGAAATCCCACACACCTATTAAAACATATAAAATTTTTTTTAAAAAAATTTCAAAATATGACCTGGCCAGGTTATGAGAACCAAAAAATTAAGTTTATATGGCTTTATATAAAATTATACAATTTTTTTATTTGTTTACTAGCACTAATAAATTGGTCTAAACTAATACTAATTTTAACTAAAAAATATTATTATATAGTATTACTAAATTTACTGTTTTTGAAAGTTTTAAAAATCTAGTATTAGTTATTATTTAGCTAGTTAGTTAAATTGCTTTGACTAGTAAAAAAGTGTTGCCTAATAGTTTGAAAGCTAAAACTATTAATCTAACTAATCCAATATATAAAACCATTTAAAGGTAGTTTTAAAACTCCTTAACCTTTAATTTAAAAAGCTAAAAAGAAGTATAGAAAAACTTGGTCCAAATTTCAAGATATTTAGATTTTGTTGTAGTATAACTAGTTATTTGGATAAGTATATCTTTTAATTTTCTTGTATAAGCTATGTAGATTGACACAATTTGAGACTAAAGAGAACTCTAATTTCTAATTTCTGGTATTTTAAGTTTTTGAAATTTGACTTCGATTGTGAACTTTGTTTACAATATCACATGTGTCATGTAGATAAAAAATAGAATCACAGAATCAGTATTGTAAAGTACAATAATATTGATTAGGTTTTAATTAATTATTACTCTTTTATATAAAAAAGGTTTTGGATTACTAATAGTAACTCCCTTTCTCTCCTTTTATTTTTAACTAAAGTGAAAATATGAATATAAATAAGTCACAGAGACAAGAGTCTCTAACAACAATTTATTTATAATAGAAGTTTATTAGAGGAAAACTATGTAGACTAGCATTTCTTGAATTCAAAAGCTAAATAATACTTAACTGAGTTTTTTATTGAAAGAGAAAAGCCCTCCTTTATATAAATATTTTTACATATTATGAAATTCCATGATTCTAATTAATTATAGATAAATTTTATTTTTATTTTTTAGATATCTATAATCTAGTAGATTCTAGGAATTTTCAATAATTCATTCCACTTGCAACCACAAATTCATTAATAACAAGAAAGGGCAATATGAAATAAAATTTAAGATCGATCTTGCCCTTTACGCAGGCTAGCAATAGTTATGGCTACAGAATATGTCAATCAAATTCGTAATATTTGATTTTGATCTATCATTGATATCTCATAATCTAGTAATTAAATTTTGATAATTTTAATACTATTTGAATTGTCTCATCAAGACAATTCAAATGGTACTAAAATTATCAAAATTTAATTACTAGATTATGAGATATCAATGATAGACCAAAATCAAATATTACGAATTTGATTGAGATTTATACTAATTTGATTGACATATTCTGTAATAACTAGTCACAACGTTTTTATAATCAGGATATTTCAAATAAATATTTTTTTTACATATAATATTTAATAAAATCAATAAATAATTAAATGCCATGAATAAGTTTTTAAAAACTTAAAATTATTTATGTCCAATCACTTATAGACTTTATTATTAGGTTCTACTTTTGTTGATTAATTATCAGCTACAAGTTTGCTTGCATAGACACGAACCAAATGATAATTAAAATCGGTCTCATATAATTCCTTTTCTGCTGCTTTAAGCAATTCATCAAATTCATCATCTGAAATTTGCAATACTTTTGTTGTATGTGTTTTCATCCCACCCATTATGGAAACTATATTATTTATATCCTATTTATTTAATATGATGTTAAAAAACAATTTCATTAAAATATGAAAAGACAATACAGATTTGTTTAATACATTACCACTTTATTAAGTTCGATATTATTATTTATACCATGACGGATTATTTTTACTTCTTTTTTAATATTTTCTAGCTGACCTTTAATTTAGAAAATATATAAATATTATTAATAAATATTATGATCATTTATCTCAGGCCTGCCGAAAAAGCAATTAAAATTTATTTTGCTATACGCCATTCAATTAAAATCAAATTAAAATCATCATAAATTTAATTGAAACCCAATTAATGACGAAATAATTGCAATTAAATTAAATTTCTTTCATTGGTGTAACCTGGTCTTTTAAACAGCGAAAAATTAAAAATCATATCGTAGTGGTAATATACGATATTAATCTAATTATGTAAAATTGCAATTAATTGACCAATTGTGGCTGCGCCACCAATCGATTAATTAAGCAATTAATTGCCCTACAATCAATTATTCGGTAGGCCTGTTATATTTAACACATTAAAGTAAAAACCTTGATCTTGTAGAATTTTCTCTAATTTTTGATATACATTCAGGTCTACACCTCTTTGTGTCACGAGCGTTGTTTCTTTATAATAAATTATTTCAATAAATAGTACATTAGTATAAGTAGAAAAAATAAAGTAAAGATATTAAACTAGTTAAGATACATACGAGCTCCCCATAAACGTTTAGCAATCGGTCCAAGATCAAAAAGCTCTGGAGATGGTTCCATCAACTTTTTTGAAAAGAAAAATTAATATATTTAATGTATATTAAAAAATAAATTTAATATATATATTAAATTTCAAATACCTCTATGAATCCACCTGGCTTTAAAATCCTAACAAGCTCATTCATTGCACTTGGCCATTCATCTTTGGTATATGCATAAGACATAAAACGTTGATATACAAAATCAAAAGTACAATCTTCGAATGGTATTTCTTCTAAGACATTTGCTTTAACGTATGTGAAATTCTTTGGCTTTATCTGCGTAGGTTGAAGTGGAGAGATATCTAATCCAACAACATCAATCGCTTGATACCTAAGAAAAAATTATGATTAATAATTTGTAATGAGAGAAGAATTCATTGTATAAGATATACGTACGTGGACGCCATATCAAATGACCACGACCCTGCACCACACCTAAAAATTACCAAGATAAGGACGTGATATTAGCACAAAAATATTTTCAAAGAAAAATTAGCCTAATATTAATCAGTAATAAAGCTGTTTAAATGAATAATTTTCTTATAATGCAGTAATGGTAAAAAATTTTTTTTTAAAAAAAATCTTCATGAAATTGGACAAATTTTTGATTCAAAATTAAAAAACAAAAAAAAGAAAAGAAACGGTTCGCGTAAGAAAGTTAAATATGATTAAATAATGTAATAATTCGAAAACTCAAAATATCTAGCAATTTTTCTCAATGAGCATAATTACAATATAAACTCGATATAAAGCTATTAGTGCCAAAACATCAAAAATTCATATTATATCTAAATTTACTAAAAGCTAATTTAAATATTAATTAAAGATGAACTTTGAGTTTCATCATTTAATTATCATAATGTTTTACATACGCAATATCAATGATTTTAGAACCTGGTTTAGTCAATATGTGATTGATGGGTGCAGAAAAATTGCTTTGCCAAAGGTATCTCATCAAGAAATGTTGAAGATGTAGTCTATCTTGTTCATCCTCATCATTTGGCATAGGATATACGGCACCTTCCACATTATGATATCTTCTTCCGTCACTAAATCTAAATTCAGTCTGTGTATTTTCTGAATCCATAGTTTCTGATTCTTCCCTTAATTTAGAAGAAAAGCAACCCATTTAAATAATTTTTTTATAAAGTATTATTTAGGATAAGAATGTAAAACCTTCGAAGTTTTTAAATTAAAAAAAAAATTAAAATTAATATTAATTATTAATTAATATAAAAAATAAAGTACATGTACGTCTGCAGTATCGCAATGTCAGCAATCAGCAATTTATTGCTGTCAACTAATATATATATATTTTGACTTTGGCCAGCAAACAGGCCAATAACCAATAAACCTCGGTCAAAAGTTCAAATTACATAATATTAGCACAAACATTAGCTAATAATATTTGGTCAAACAATCAAGCGACAACACTGTGTATGTATCATAGGCAGATATTCGTATGATTGGCAGTTTAAATCAATTTAATTTAACATTATTTGTACAGGTTAAAGTACTTTTCAAAAAAAAGAAAACTACTACGAATAAACAAAAAAGAAGTATATAGAAAGTTTTATTAGCGTTG